GTGAAGCTGAAAATCACATATACCTCTATTACAAGAGATAAATCTCTTCAGGACTTGAATTAAGGCATTTGCAGATTAGCTACACCTCCGTCAATAGAGACATATCTCTTCAGGATTTGAACTAAAAGATCAACTCTTGTATATAATTAATTACAAGTAAGGTTTATTCATCATAATTACAAATTTTAAAATATAAAAAAAATATAAATAGAGATTCAAATCTTTCCATGACTTGAACTAGGACGTATGAAGATTAATGACAGCTCAGTCGTATAAGTTTCGACCTTAGTGTGTGTGTTTAATTACCTTACGACAATTATTAATTTGCTTGCTATACTTATTTGTTACAACACTGGCTTAAAACAATTTCAAAACATTGTGACAAACAAGTCATTAATATGTGTGGTATATGGAAAGTACATCGCGACATATGACATAAATTTTGTCAAAATTGCCCATGCTTAATTTTTCATTTCTGAAATAGTTTCTTTAGATCCTTTTACCTCTAATAAAATTATTTTTGGACAACTTAGCTTCTTGAGAATCATGCTTCACTTTTAATTACTTTTTCTATCATTTTATTTGGTTTAAATACTTGTTTTTAATAGATCCCATGATGTATACATTATTTAACTCAGTTTTCCATTGATAGTTATTTGTTTTAGTTATTTACTTCCTTATTTACCATGATAAATCTATTTTATTATATTTAATATTTTCTATCATGATAGATCATATTTTACCATGGTAGTCTAATTCAAGAAATGTTTGATTTCTAAAAAAAGCTCTTTTTACTATAGTATATTTTTATAAAAATAATTTCAACTCTTAATTACTATGGTAACCTTTTTTCTACTATAGTATAACGTTTCAAAATATTATCTAAAATCTTTTCCATCACGATAAATTTTTATTTACTATAGTAATGTTTTGAAAAGTAAGTTTTATCCTTTATTATTATGATGGACTCTTTTCTATCATGGTATGTATTTGATGGATAAAGTTTAGTATGAACTTGTATAATTTGCAAAAAATTGATGTAAATTTTAGAGTATTATAGCCAGCATCAATTAGCGATTGGACTGTTAACTTTCATCGAGATTAGACTATGATCACCAACTAGGACAAGACCATTATCGCTGATCAAGACTGGTCCACTGATGCTTCTAGGGCTAGAACACCAATTCTGACCAGAACCAGACTGCTATTGCCGATTGAGAATGGACTACTTATGTTGTCCGAGTTTAGATAGTCAAGTTAACCGAGATTGAATTGCCGATGTCGTCCGAGTTGCCATTAAATTCAAACATAGAATTGAAAATTTAGAATTTTATTTAAGATTCAAACAAGTATTTTTAATATTATAATTTTAAATTTTTTATACCATCCAAATCAATGATTGAGAATTCATAAATTTTAAATGTGAGATTTTAAATATGAAATTTTAAATTTAAATTCTCAATCCAAATCCACCTATCAAAACACAACCTTAATTTATTATAAATTTTAAAAACTGAATTATAATTATAATGACCAAAGTATTAATTTTCTTAAAAAACATATGAATAGGTGATAAAATTTATATTTATAATAAGCTATAAAAGTTATAAATAATTGTTGGTTGGGTTTTATGATTTGGATTTGGAGCATTGTGTTACTTGCTAGGCGTGTTTGAGGAATGAATCCTCAAAATGAACAATAATAGATCAAATGATTGTGTGGGACTATAGGTTCTTAAGGTCTTTTATTACAATTTTCTTAAAGTGCCAAAGTTGGACAAGAAACTAAGGGGATCAAAAAACGTACGAGACTTGATTGCATTATTGATGAATAAATGCAACTAATACTTTGTTGGATGAAGAGAAAAATAGCCTCGCATGTCTAAGCCGTAGTGACAAAACTAGTCCCAAAGGGCGAACTTGTAATGATGTCGGGTCAATTCTTTTGAGTCTTTGCGTTTGGGCAAATTGATTTGGGTGTGTTGAGTTCATAAAGCGTCAAGAGAGAATTAGAGTTTATGCACTCATTGCCTTTTATATAAAAAGGCAACAACGCCCTCTTTTAAATTCAAATTTTGGTGCCAAGAAAGCAAGTAACTAGATAAGTGGGAGAATTGCCGGTGTGCCTCATCGGGAGAGGGTGGGAGTTGGAGGATTGGCTTGACGTGAGTTGCTATGCTTTTCAAACGCGGTGTTTCAGTTATCCGTGAACATGGCCGAATGTCCTAGGCTGCGGACTACTTTTATTTCTGATTTAAGACTCCCAAGACGCACATGTGGCCTGAGAGCGCCAATTCAGTCCACACAATCATATAATATAATTTATTTTTTAAATAATAAACATATAAAGATTTTATATAAATATAATATAATTCTACATATTCTAATTTAATTTTAGGAAAAAAAATAATTTTTAATCTTTACACTTTGCTGGTGTTTTATTACAGGTCCTTTCACTTTTTTCTCAATATTTTAAATCCCTATATCTTTATTTTTTGATGTTTTAAGTCCTTAAATGATTAAAATAATTAAATTGAAGGTATCTTAAATGAACGTAAAATATAAAAAGTAAAAATATAAAAATTTAAAATATTAAAAAATATACAAAGACTAATAAAAAAAAATATGAGTAAAGTGTTTTGCGTGAATTAAAAATTATGCTTTTTTTTATTTTATATTTATCGCCACATATATCGTGGAAGCTCGGGAAGTCACGTGGTTTCTCAAGGTTGAGCCAAAAAGCATCGGGTTTCTCAGTACGCACATTACGCAGGAAGAAGCCAAAATCAGGAAATGGCGAGGAGGAACTCGGGAAGTAGAAGAGGGGATCTTGGACTTAGCCAAGCATTCGTATGTTTCTAACTCAATTTTCTGCGTTATCCAAACACGGCAATAAACAGTAAATTCAATCGCTGACTGCAGGTGTTCTCGTTGCAGCTTTTGTTTGCCTTATCATAGATTTCTTGTGCTCCTCTTCAAAATAATTTTTAAAAATTTTTGCTTTCTACTATATTTTAAAGGTAGCAGCTGACTTTGATAAAATCACCAAACCCACCTTAGTAAGCTCAACCAGCAGTCCTCCTGGTAGTTTCCAGAGCAAGCTTGGTCAGCACAGATCTCTAACTGGTAATCATGATTTAAGAAACTCACTTGAGCCTGATATGTGGAGAAGTTGGATTATTCAGAGAAATGGTTCCTCATTTGAAAATTTTGAAGGTAATCTATGTGAATACTTTATGGGTTGTGTCCGGCTTAGTCAAGAGGATCAACTAATGTCTTTGTAATAATACTCCATATAGATGCTGAAATTGCACCCGGTGGAACTGGTCAAGGAGCTGGGGCTGATGTTTCAGGAAATGATGTTCTTGAAATAAGACAGTTTGCTGCTACACCTATAAATAGAGAGGGAGACTCAAGTCCTCCTGGTGGGAAGGCAAATTACAAGGAAATAAAAAGCCGCATCCAGCAGCTGGAGTCGGAGCTATCTTCAGTACTTCAGTCATTGAGGTCTGGCGTGGATGAAGTTGGAATGCAGACGGTGAGTAGTGAATAAGGGTCACTTTACTGTAAATTACCGCAGCCAAATTGGGAAAAGGGGAAATAGCACAGTTATACTTTGTTTAGCTTAGGTCTATGCACCTTTTTTATGTATCACAAATCACAATAATTCAGTAATTGGTTATGCTTTTCCTTGACCCTGATCTAATCTTAATTTTAGACATATAGGAAAATAAAATGCTTATATGAAAAGTGAACGAGGGTGAATCTTGTTGCCATTTTTCTTTCCTAGATAATAGAGGGGAGGGGAGCCTTGGTGCAACTTTCTTTTGGATGGAGAAAAATTCACAAAACCAATCAATCATTAAAGGATATTATCCGTTAATTTATGTCATCCCATGATACATTATGTTAGAGTATATGTGCCAAATGATGATTATTAAACTAGAACTCTTTGTGCTTGTTGTTATGCTCATGTAAAATCAGGACTATCTTGTATTGATGATGAAAGAGTTTTAATCTTTTTTCCTTTTGTTAATTTGGATTCCTTTAAGCTCAATGAGCCTATCTGATCCTGATTGCTTTTTTTATAATTTTTTTTTCTTTTACTTTGGTGATCAACACAAAGAACTCTCTCCTTGGGATGTTATGCTAATCTTCCTTCCCTGCTGTATGTTCTTCAATAGGGCAAGAAACGATTTGGGTGTGTTGAGTCAATTCTTTTGAGTCTTTGCGTTTGGGCAAATTGATTTGGGTGTGTTGAGTTCATAAAGCGTCAAGAGAGAATTAGAGTTTATGCACTCATTGCCTTTTATATAAAAAGGCAACAACGCCCTCTTTTAAATTCAAATTTTGGTGCCAAGAAAGCAAGTAACTAGATAAGTGGGAGAATTGCCGGTGTGCCTCATCGGGAGAGGGTGGGAGTTGGAGGATTGGCTTGACGTGAGTTGCTATGCTTTTCAAACGCAGTGTTTCAGTTATCCGTGAACATGGCCGAATGTATTAGGCTGCGGACTACTTTATTTCTGATTTAGGACTCCCAAGACGCACATGTGGCCTGAGAGCGCCAATTCAGTCCACACAATCATATAATATAATTTATTTTTTAAATAATAAACATATAAAAATTTTATATAAATATAATATAATTCTACATATTCTAATTTAATTTTAGAAAAAGAAATAATTTTTAATCTTTACACTTTGTTCATATTTTATTATAGGTTGGTTCACTTTTTTTAAGTATTTTGAATCTTTATACCTTCATTTTTTAATATTTTAGATCTGTAAATGATTAAAATGATCAAAGTGAAGGTACTTAAACGAACATAAAACATGAAAAATAAAAATATAAAAATTTAAATATTAAAAAAATATAAAAATTAATAATAAAATTTGAGTAAAGTGTTCTGCATGAATTAAAAATTATGTTTTTTTATTTTATATTTATCGCCACATATATCGTGGAAGCTCGGGAAGTCACGTGGTTTCTCAAGGTTGAGCCAAAAAGCATCGGGTTTCTCAGTACGCACATTACGCAGGAAGAAGCCAAAATCAGGAAATGGCGAGGAGGAACTCGGGAAGTAGAAGAGGGGATCTTGGACTTCGCCAAGCATTCGTATGTTTCTAACTCAATTTTCTGCGTTATCCAAACACGGCAATAAACAGTAAATTCAATCGCTCTTTTCCTTTCTTTTCTCTATTTCTTATTCAGGCTTTGCTTTCCCCGCAAGTGTCCGGCGGAGCACGCTGACAACCAAAAAAATAAAAGGAAACAAGCCAAATAATTCAGTGACAGTGTTGAAAGCGAGGGACCAAATCATTAATGCAGTCCCTCGCTTTTCAGTGGTTTTGTTCGGCGCTTGATTAACTCTCTTAAGTCTTACCCATTTCTTCATCTCCCGCCTTTCGCCACCTTCATTCTTGGCCTTCTGCCGATATACTGTTCGACGAAATGCCTGAACCATGCATTCCCTTACTGCTTCTGCTTGCTTGCTTCTCCCCCACAATTCCTTAGCGGATTTGAGCTCTCTGCGCTTTCCCTCCCATTTGTTTGTCGTTGATTCGTGGGGACGGAGGAGGGCGGTGCAGCAGTTCACGGCTTTGAATCTTGTCAACGAGACTGGGTCGCTGCTGGGGTGCTTGGATTCTTTCAAGAAGGGGAACTGTTACAAAGGTTTGTATTGGGGTTACTCTGGGTTCTTGAGAAGGTGCAAAGACTGGGATTGCGAGGGAGATTTCTCTCTCGAGGCGGAGATTTTGGAGTTCATGAAGAATTCCAAAAAGCCAAAAGCGTTTCCAACCAAGAAAGAGTTGATTGATTCTGGAAGGATGGATTTGGTTGATGCCATCATCAAAAAAGGAGGCTGGCTTGCCCTTGGGTGGGATTTGGATGAAGATGCCGAAAAAGGATCGGGAGAAGTGCATGTTCAAGATGAGGATTTATTGTCCAAGAATGAATGTGATGCTATATACCATAGCAGTAAATTTGAAATCGAGAAAATTCGGGCTTCTGGCCGAGTTTTTTCATCAGCTAACTATTCTCAACTAGCTGTATCGCCTGGTAGATCAGTGTGAGACTTCCGTTTTGATGCACATTTTTCATTAGCAGTACTGTTGCATAAATGTTTGCCGCCTGAGCTATAGGGAGTGGTTTAGGAACCCCAAAGCGGGTTTCAATGCTATCAACTCTGTGGAATCTGTACTCATGTACTCCTTCATCTTGATGTCCTAATATGTTAATCTAACGCAAATGTAATTTTTTGGACATCACGATTTGTTATAATATTCCACGATGTCATTCTTTTTCTTTGCCTTGTTGCTATTCTTTAATGCATGCATTAAATATGAATCTTGAACTGGTAGCATAAGTTTAATTTCCTGTCTGACAGGGAAATTGCTGAGCAGTCTGGTATTGAGGGTATATTGAATCGACTGGAGAAAGAGAGAAATAGTGCTTTAGGACTTGGGTTCAGACACAAAGAAGATAATGTTTCACCTGGAGATAGTGAAGATAGAGACGAAAGTCATAATAGATCTACTATAAATTCAGTAAGTAAATTTTACTCCATTAAAATGTCTTTTATGATTCTATGGATTATTTGAATCGATATGTCAATGCCAATTATATGTAGATTCACAAGGTCTGGGATAATTGAATATTACTGGAATTTTATATAGATTGCATACTTTTAATTTGTGATCTATGATATATGTCAACTCATCAGTTAAAAAAGCTTGCTATTAGATGTTGTATAAAAAAGGTCAAACACTGGCTGACTGCAGGTGTTCTCGTTGCAGCTTTTGTTTGCCTTATCATAGATTTCTTGTGCTCCTCTTCAAAATAATTTTTAAAATTTTTTGCTTTCTACTATATTTTAAAGGTAGCAGCTGACTTTGATAAAATCACTAAACCCACCTTAGTAAGCTCAACCAGCAGTCCTCCTGGTGGTTTCCAGAGCAAGCTTGGTCAGCACAGATCTCTAACTGGTAATCATGATTTAAGAAACTCACTTGAGCCTCATATGTGGAGAAGTTGGATTATTCAGAGAAATGGTTCCGCATTTGAAAATTTTGAAGGTAATCTATGTGAATACTTTATGGGTTGTGTCCGGCTTAGTCAGGGGGATCAACTAATGTCTTTGTAGTAATACTCCATATAGATGCTGAAATTGCACCCGGTGGAACTGGTCAAGGAGCTGGGGCTGACGTTTCAGGAAATGATGTCCTTGAAATAAGACAGTTTGCTGCTACACCTATAAATAGAGAGGGAGACTCAAGTCCTCCTGGTGGGAAGGCAAATTACAAGGAAATAAAAAGCCGCATCCAGCAGCTGGAGTCGGAGCTATCTTCTGTACTTCAGTCATTGAGATCTGGCGTGGATAAAGTTGGAATGCAGACGGTGAGTAGTGAATAAGGGTCACTTTACTGTAAATTACGGTAGCCAAATTGGGAAAAAGGGAAACAGGACAGTTATACTTTGTTTAGCTTAGGTATATGCACCTTTTTTATGTATCACAAATCACAATAATTCAGTAATTGGTTATGCTTTGCCTTGACCCTCATCTAATCTTAATTTTAGACATATGGGAAAATAAGAGACTTATATGAAAAGTGAGAAGGTTAATCTTGTTGCCATTGTTCTTTCCTGGATAATAGAGGTGAGGGAAGCCTTGGTGCAACTTTCTTTTGAATGGAGAAAATTTCACAAAAACAATCAATCATTAAAGGATATTATCCGTTAATTTATGTCATCCCATCATACATTATGTTGGAGTATATGTGCCGAATGATGATTATTAACCTAGAACTCTTTGTGCTTGTAGTTATGCCTATGCAAAACCAGGAATATCTTGTATTGATGATGAAAGAGTTGTAACATTTTTTCCTTTTCTTAATTTGGATTCCTTTAAGCTCAATGAGCCTATCTGATCCTGATTGCTTTTTTTATAAATTTTTTTTCTTTTACTATGATGATTAGCACAAAGAAGCCTCTCCTTGGGATGTTATGCTAATCTTCCTTCCCTGCTGTATGTTCTTCAATAGGGCAAGAAAAGATCTGATGATGATCTTCAAAAGCTTTCTGATGCCTGGGAATTCCAGGAAAATGAGATCTTTAAAGCTCAGGATAGACTGCGCTCAATTCGTGCTAAATTGGCAGTGTTAGAAGGAAAGATGACGCTGGCAATAATGTATATGTAGATTCTATTCATTTCATTTCATATATCTCCAGTTACCTTAATATTGACGCTAATAGTGGCACATTCTTTTCTCCCAGGGATGCGAATAAGACCATTGAAGAGAAGCAGAAGAGGATTGATAATTCTCGTAGAGCTTTAACATTTCTAAAGACTATTTGTGTGGTTTGGCCAAATTCAGCCTCAGAAGTACTTCTTGCAGGATCATTTGATGGTTGGTCCTCCAAGGTATGGCCGCTTTTTGTGAACATTTTCAGATTGATCTAAAGTATCAGTATTGCCCAATAATAGATACATCAAAACTCTTTATGATGTGACCCATATCAAGTTGAGCATCCTTTTTGCACTTGGCAGGGCTTCTTAAAGTAGTGTTCTTTGAAGCTCAAGTTTGCATACTTCATTATTCTCGAAAAACTAACATTGAGTCATACCAGAAAATATATACAATCATAGGAGCATATTTGTATGCTAGAAACATCTTTTTTTTTTTTCGTTAATGATTTGTTCAGGACCTCCTTGACTTCCCTGTCTAGTTTATTTGTAATATTTTGTCTATATGTTTTTTGTGGCATTCTTGGGTTAAATTACACTGGAATATTACGTGTCTGTTACGTATCAAAATTTTTGGATGTCACACCCAATATACTAGTAAATCGTAAAATGCATATTTATAAAATTAGTGACAGATAGGTTTGATTGCAGAGAAAGATGGAGAAGTCAAATGCTGGTGTCTTTTCTGTGTACCTACAGTTGTATCCAGGAAAATATGAGGTTAGTTGTATTAATTTTTATGGTAAATGAGTAAATTAGCCTCTAAATTATAGGTTTAATAACGTCTGAGACTCTAAACTTATTTTTTGTACAATATTTCCTTTTAACTTTTGAAAATAATATAATCTAGCCTCTGCTATTAATAAAATTTAACTTTAACTATTAGTTGACAAAAAAAAAAACAGAAAAAACCTCAAAAATTACAAAGGACCAAAAAAAATTCTTAGTCCTTTTCTATAATTTTTGGGTTTTTGGGTCCTTTTTTAATAATTTTTGAGGTCTTTTTTGTTATTTTTTAGTCAACTAACAATCAAAGTTAACTTTTATTAATTGTAGAGGTCAAATTGCACCATTTTCAAAAGTTGAAGGGATATTACACAAAAGATGGGTTTAGAATCTCAGACACTTATAAACCCATAGTTTAGGAGCCAATTTGCTTATTTACCCAATTTCTAACATCTTAAAGCCATGTGATACTGTGTCAGGAAGCTAGGCCTAACAGGAATCTAAATGTTTTTTTGTCTTCCCTGTTGCAGATCAAGTTCATTGTTGATGGCGAATGGAAAATTGATCCCTTGCGCCCTATTGTTCAGAATAATGGCTATGAGAATAATCTCCTTATCATTCAGGAATAACGTGATTCATTTAAGCAAGCATGAGATAATATTTCTTTAGAACACAACAGATTACATGCACTAGGTTAGTCTTCCACTGATTTTTATTTGATTTTGACTCATGTAAATAATAGTGAGCAGCTAATTGATTCTTTGAACTTAGAGAGTATTTGTTACCTACTCGAGTGTAGCACTTTTAGGAGCCAATTGATACAGGTATTTTGACTAATTACAAGCTGAACTCATTCAATAATATCCGGCATGTTCTTACGACTTTTGGAGATGCTTACGTAGTACTTTATCGAACTATAGTGCTCGAAGTGAGTAACTGACCTGAATGGCATTCTCATGTTCCTGCGGTGGCCAAAGTTGGTGAAATGGTATGAGTTAAACCGTTTGTGTGTGTGTGTGTGTGGGTTTTTTCCCCCTCTGTAGGAAAAGGCTCTGGTGTCTTGCTTATTCTATTTTTCGCGCTTTGCAGTCTAAAATAGCCGAGTTAGTTGATTGTTATCATTATGTAGTTGACGTGCTAATTCCAGGCCACCAAATAGGTTTAATATTTCACATCCCTGGAAATGGGGCGTAATTTTTTAATGCTTTAATACAATTGATTGTTACTTATTGAGATCTTATATACTATTTCACAATTTTAATTGATTGTTCCTGTCTTTTGAAAAGATATATTTGGAAATTCAAGTCTTAATATTTTAATTAGGTTAATATGTGCAGCCCGCCGGCCACTAAATGTAAGTCACCATTAATAAACTCACCATACTAAACAATTAGATGCTTGTTCAAGTATTAAAGTTGTTACAAAATCAAACTAGTTTATATTTTTACCTCTAATAACTATACTATTCTATTCATCTCAATTTATAAAATATTTTTAAAAGAGATTTGACATTCAAAATATGACATTTTGTTTTGAAAAAAATAAAATTATAAAATATATTTAATAAGTTTTATTAATATGCATGATTTTGATTAAAAATGTTTTACACAGTGGGATGAGAAAGTAGTATATTTTACTTTCTTTACTTCCGTTTAGAGGATAAAGTTTTGAAAGATGATTTGTTTTTACTTATAAAACAATTATAAAATTTAGGGAAAATGATAATTAGGCATTCCATAACATATCATGATTCTTATTTACAATTAAAAAAATGTGAATAGTTAATTGAAAAATTAATAAAAAATACTTGAAATTATTTATAACATCAATTGAGAATTTATGATGTGTGAATTGCAAACTAATTACTTGTAATTTTTTTACTATCAATATATAAATAAATGGCTTAGGAAATCTATAAAATAGATGAGGGATTATTTTAACGTCAGTTAGAAATTTACGAAAGTTAGTTATGAATTGCAAATCAATCACTTGCAATTTTTTGCTATCTTTATACTTAAAATTTTTTGTAACATTAGTTGAAAATTTATAAAAGTCTACTGTGAATCTCAAGTCAATCAACAAAAGATAATTTATTATAAGTAAAAACTATGATTTGTTATTGAGATTCAATAATTTAAAATCTATAATTATCATTAATATTCTTATGAGGTTTTTAATTGTCATTTTTCCCTTAAATTTAAGGAGTATATAGTATTTTTTCCCCCTACTATCTCCCTACTAAATGGATGAAATGGCTTAATATAAGTGCTGACTTTCTAATGAGCATTAAATAAGGATAGAAGTGAAAAAAAAGAAAAGGAAAGTTTAACAAACGAATTACTTATGTTAGTTTAATTGCTATGTTAGAATTATATAATTTTATCCTACAAATAGAAACAGGGCTACTGTCATATTAATTTTTTACTTTCTCTTGCCACTCCGATATCACAATTCAAAATTTGGCATATATGGAAAAATTAATAGTAATTGCAAGGTTATTCTGGCCTTAGGGCCTTTCGCGGGTGAAATGAAATTTGCGTTATTTAAGGAGAAGAAATGAATTCATAAAATGACTTATAAAATGTATTAACAATACTTTTTAGAAGATACCTAGTGAGAAAATGAGAATAAAATCCTTTTAAATTATTTAAATAATAATTTGATATCTTAAAATGCAATAATACCAATAAAATCTTTAGGGATATCTTTGTTAATAATTTTTTTTAAAAAACTTTCTTACTCTTACTGAAAATAATAAAACCCCATCACAATTTTTGTTTTATAAATCATAAAAATTAAATAAGAAATCATAACTTTTCAAGTATAATTTATTTTGTTGAAAAATAAACCATAATCACAATTTTTATTTAAAGAATAACTTATTTTGTGAATCACAAGAGTTAAATAAAAAATCACAATTTGTCAAATATAATTTTTTTATTTAAAAACAAGTTCTTAAAATAAAAAATTTTATTCATAACTTTTATTTAAATAATCATAAATTTTTTTAAAAAAAATCACAAGAATTGAATAAAAAATAACAATTTATCAATAAAAGTAAATGACTTTTTCTCTAAAAAAAACTATTGACAATGAAGACACTTAATATTATAACATTTCGAGAGATAAAATTGTTATTTACATAACTTGAAAAAGTTTTATTGTCATTTCCTCATACCTGTTATGTATAGGACTATGAGTAGCATCTCATTTCTTTTCAAATGCTATATATTGTGGGTGACCACAATTAGAATGAGTGGTAAAGAACTTGAGACTTTTCAATAAGGTTTCAAGTTGGAATATCGTATAACCAAAAAAAAAAAAAATTCACGTTAGAAAATTTCCTTTTAATTAGGGCTGACTCTGGCTCAAATATTGATTAATCAACAGTAACAAAATTTTGGATGGTTTGTCCATTCTCACAGAGGGAAAAACAAGAAGAAAAATCCAAGTTGACTCACTAAATTTTCTTTTGGCGCAAGGGAGCGTGTCAGCCTGATCCTAAAATATCAGTTGCACCGAAGTGGGTAAATCTTGGAACTGCCATTTGTGTTTTAGGACTAAAAACCAAGCTAATGGATTAAAATTTCTTTACAGAGACGTTCACATTAAATTAGCATCTCACTGTAGTGAAGTATTATAGGGCATGGTTAAAGCATAGGTGAAGCCACTCCCACAGAAAACTCTGATTGATTCTGCTTCATCCAATTCACAGCCCAGACTCACCGTGAGTGGACTTGTTTGGTCACACGAATCACCCAAGCCAAGTTGCCCATGCTCGCCCCAACCCCAAGTCTTTATTTCTCTGTTCTCTGAAATTAATTACAAGATACAGTCAGTATGTTTCTGCAAATATTAATAGCCACAAGAAGTAGACAATATAGATCTTGCCAGTGACTAGGGCAGAGTGTTCTGCTCCAGCAGCTACATCAACAATCTTCACTCCATTGAGACCTGGGACCTTTTCCAGATTGCCTTCTTTTATATTTACTGCAAGAAAATATTTGAAAAAGCACATTTAGAATTTATTCAAAAAGAAATACTGTAAGTTTTTTCTTTTTTTAAAAAAATCTGCATCTGTCCAATATCAATTTGCAGTAGAGTCCATGCAAAGTTTTAGCTTGTGATTCCCTTCTCTGTCAGTTTCACTCTCCAATCTCCACTGTCTTGCAGAGGGACTGACATACTCATTTGTAAGTGTGAGATAAGAATAAAAACAATAACTTTAACATGATGAAACCCTTTGAATCCTGAAAATTCCTTTTAATGCATGGGTACTAAAATTCATTACCAGGTAATTGCTTTGCTGAGTCCAAACTCTGAGGATCTGTAAGCACTCCAAGGTGGTTACCGCCAAGCATGAAACCTTCCCCCTCACCTATACAAATATTTCAACCGCAAAAACATGTTTCTGACTAGAAAAGGAGGCTACCAAAACAGAAGGATCAGAAAGTTTAAGAAGCGTCTAGAAATACCAGTTAAAGCTAAAGCGTGGTTCCATCCAAGAGCAGCTTTGGCAAATCTCAGAGAAGAATTTATGCGTTGAGGAGAGTGAGCATCCGCAACACCTTTGAATCCTCTTCCCCACATGTAAAGATGGCCGCCAACTGATGCAATAAAAATCACAGAAAACGATGTATGTATTTATTTGAAGAACATTTATATGTAATTAATTAGTCTTTCAACTCTAATTTATACTCATATTAGGTAAGAGGGAGGATGTGGATTTACAAGATATTGCAGCACTATGATCTCCGTTTGCAGCAACCTCAACAATTTCCTTATCTTCAAGTTCACTAATAACTTCAGGTACACCGATGGATTTGATCTTATCTTTTGAGATACCCAATTGACCACGCTTGCCTGATCCAAATCCATAAACTTGATTCGTCGAGCTACCTGTATCACAATGACCCTTTAGCAGTTCAATCACACGCCACATATATAGTAGTTGCTAAACTTATATATACCTAAAATCTGATTAGAATTAAGTCCACCTATCTGTGTTACTAGATATCAGACAACACTGCCCTGAGAAACAAGAACAACACAAACTCCAAGAGTGCATGTGTGTGTGTGTGTGTGTGTGTGTGTGTGTAGTTCTAAAGCATTGACCAATTGAACACCTTTGAGCAAGACAATGGAATGGCGCATGCCACAAGCTATTTGGGCAATAAAGTGATCAACAAAGCAAGTCACTCTAACAGGCGAGCAGTGAGAGGTGTGATCACCATGTCCAAGCTGACCAAATGAGCCGTCCCCACAAGTGAATAGACACCCACTATCTGGGGAGAACCAGAATCAAAGAACAGACCAAAATGTAACTTCATTGAGACAAAACAACATAATAATAGTAAAATCAATATGTGAAACCGAGAGGAGACAGACAACAGAGGAGAGGGCAAACCTGAAACAAAAGCAGAGTGGCTCCAACCAGCAGAGACACGGGTTATGAAGTAGTCGTCCAAGGATGTCACAGGCTTGGGATTCAAGGCATAACTAACAACCTCTCCTAGGCCTAGCTGCCCAGAACTTCCCCTACCCCATGTCAGGACCTTCCCTCCTTCAATGCACAATAAAATTTGCGTAAGCATAAAAATTTAAGCTTTGAATTGATCAATAGATTAAAGAGAAACCATTTAACAGCACCAAGCAAAACTTGGTGAATCAGCGAATGAAGTAAGAGAGAGAAGATACCGGAAGTTAAGGCCATGACGTGAGCGCCGCCGCAGGCAAGGGAGGAGATGGGGGACGCGACGGACGGAAGGTGGAGGAGTTGCGGGAGGGTATGGTCTTGGAGGCTGCCGGTGCCCAACTGGCCGTCGGTTCCGGCACCCCAACTCCAGATTCGCTGTTTTTCTTTTTCTTTCTCTTTCCGTTCGTCTTCTTCCATCACCTTTCGGCCCGCCCGCCACTCTGCTTCCGAATAGATTTTCTTTGCGTTTCCGGAGAGCAGGAACTCGGAACAGCTGATTAAGAAGACTACCCATCGAGGGTCTATTTCGGTTAATGTTTCCAAGTTCGAACTCGACTGTTTACGATTTTTGTATTTTAAACGAATATAAGAATTATTTAACTTTATTTCACCATCTTATATTGAGATTTTAGAAGGAGCTGGATTTGGGTGTGTTTGAATTTTAATTGAGTATAATTAATTATAAAAAATTTGATTGATATGATTAATTATGTTATGAGGCATATAATTGATTTATAAAATTAATTTTAATCAAGATTAAAAAGTATAATTGAAAAGTAAGTCCAATCATGATTTTGTGAAAATATATTCAAACATCTTTATTATATATTAAAATTAATTATGAATTCAAAATCATGTTTTTAAAAAAATATATATTATACATATCAAGATTAATTATGAACTTAAAATCATGATTTTTTTTAAAATATACAAATACTTTTATACATTTCAAAATCAATTATGAACCCATTATTATCTCATAAGTTATTATTAGTTATTTTTCAATTCAAATTTTCAACTATACTTTTCTAAAAATGTATTCAAAAATTATATAAATTATTTTATAAATCACATTTTTTGAGTTCATAATTGATTTTAACATTATAAAATGTGATTGTGTATTTTTAAGAATAACATGATTTTGAATTCATAATTAATTTTATTATGTATACTGGATGTTTGGATTTTTTTTAAAATATAATTTTAAATTCATAATTAATTTTAACATGTAACATGAGTATTTAGATATATTTTTACAAAATTATGGTTGTGACCTCAACAATAAATTCCAAATGATATACTTAGTTGGACTTAAAATGTTTTTGAGTTGATTTTTTCAGTAAGTATATTTCAAATTTTTTCAAATTTTTTTTTTCAATTATAACACTACCCTTTCTTGTATAGCAATTGGGGGGAAGCGACTTTGATGTTAAAGTTAAGTTGAAAAAAGGCATATCAATTTTATTTGTGAGTATAAGAAGATTTAATGAAAACAACAATCATCTCCTTAAATATTAAGGATAAAAGATAAACCCCTCACAAGTCACAACTACATAGAAGCCTATCCCTTTGAATGTCGTAGCATATTGGTAAAATGCTCGGTTTATAGCATTGTGCCCAAAAAACTGAAAATTTTCGATGTCGAGGAAATTTTTGTTGAAAGCAGAGCTCTGGCTCCGCAAGTAGATCAAATAAAACTTGTTTCAAAACTCAGAAGTCAGGTAGAAGCCAAGTACATGTTCTGGCTGCAGCTGCTTCCCATGTTAAGTAAGAAGACATTTACGTGACCACATTATATAATTACTAAGAAGAAATTTAAAGAAGATATAAAAGAACTGAGCTTAAGTGCAGATGATTAACCACTCAACTGGAATAATACATAATCACTCTTCAAAAGGTTATTGCAGAAACTGAGTCTGAAACACATTGAGGTCCACCAAAACAATAGCTTACTACCCTGTACATTTTCTTGTATTAGAAGAGGATGAAACACAAGCTAACTGGAATGCGGGTTTCTGTTCTAAACTAGGAATATACCCTTCGGACTTTTAGAAGGCTCGAGATCAATTTGTGGAGTGTGGAAGCAATCTCAAGAAACCAAAACAAGGGATCTCCCCTTCAAAGATATAATTTTTGGTAAAAAGAATGAGATTATTGCTCATAGCAGTTGGAGATACAACATTCAAAGTTCTCTGAACAGAAACCCGCTCATAGAAACAAGCGAAAAAAAAAAAATTAGACTCTAATTTTTGGTAAAAAGAATGAGATTATTGCGTATAAAGAGAATTAGACAAATGATAGAGTATTCACTCCATTCAAAATACAGTATGATATTATTTCTTAAAGCATGATAATATTTATTCATTGCTCGTATGAAATTAGAGAAGGATACCATTGGCATGTTTCAGCAGGGGAGCCTCTTTTTCATGTAATGTACCACTTTTATAGAAACTGCATTGCTCTCAAGTGCTTCTGTTTCATCATGCGTACAAATTTTTGCAGGTCTTGGTTCTCGAAAAAGGAGCCTCCAACACCAGCTCCAATAGTGTTGGGCAGTAAATCATCAAAACTATGAGATCGCTTTGTTGTTGTGCTTGTGCCCTTGTCCAGCTCTGATTCCATTTGTTGAACCATCCTGTGTAATTCCGAGGCATATATAGGGCAAATTCCAGAAGCTTTTATCAAGTCATAACTGAAAGTCCTGGGATCAAATGCATCTCCAGTGCAGAACTCAGAAACAAACTTAGAAGGGGTCCCCTGATCATATCCTCTCCTTCGAGTTTCCTTTAATATGCGTTCCCATGGATCATACCACAGAAAAACATGATCCATATTCAATTTCTTGAGGAACGGGAACACCTTCCCGAGCCCATAATTGATCTCATCTTCTTCGAACTGGAATTTCCAATATATTGATGAGCCGTCCGGTGAGTCCAATGGATGAAGAACACAGCAACAAACAAGACCCAATAATTGGTCAGAACAAGCAGGTTCAAGTTCAATAGCAATGGAAGTCTTCCTCGTCTGAGTATATCTAAACCACTTTGGAATTGTGCTTCCGGGGTAACAAACCCTAGCATCAGAAAAATTGTTATACATTGCTCGCATCAGTGAGAATTGGGTAAATTCCGTAATATCACGCTTATCCGATCCCAGTCTCACAGAATTCTGACATGAAAAGAACCATTGCTCTTCTTTATCGTGATCAAGCTTTAAAGTTGTCCGCCTGAACCTGAAGAAATCGGTGGTCTTCAACGATTTGCATTCATCGACATAAAAATGAGTGATTGAAGGTGAGAATTCTGGTAAGGACCTAAGCCTATTGCATCGGCTCAAATAAATTTTTTTAAGCTCAGAAAGGTGCTTGATGCTTGTAGGCAAACTCTTCATACTGTTTCCTTCTAGTGAAAGAATCTTCAACGATGATAAGGCACAAATATTCTCGGGAATTTCAGACAACTCACAATCTGTCAAAGATAATTCTTCCAAAGAACGCAAGGCATCAAACAGGATTTGTAGTGTCATTTTGTCAATTCCTCTTCTAAAATGAAAAAGAGAAAATATCTTAAGAGATGACAAGCAACGGAGCTCTTTAATTTGAAAACTCCTTAGAGCCCCACCTAGATATAGCTCTTCAAGTTTATTGAACCTCCCAATTGGCAAGTTCAATGTTTCGATATCAGTAGCTTGTAAATTCAAAACCGCCATTTCATTTGATGATAACAAAAATTCCTTGAGACGACCACAGCATTTCAGGTGGAGATACTTGAGAGATTTCAAATGATTCTTGCTGTAAAAACTCTTTATTTCGTGGCAGCTGCTTAGATCCAAAGAAACAAGTCCATGGAGAGATAGGATGGATGGATGGACACTACCCAATCTAAAACAGGACGAGAGGTTTACTATTTCAAGATTACATGCCATGGAAAAATCAGGAACTTCCATCAAGTGGTAAGAAGAAGACATATCTATTATCTTCAAATTCGCCAGATCCTGTAGGGAATAGAAGAGGAGAGTTGGTCGAAAATCGAAATTCAGTTCGACTGAAGATTGAAACATAAATTAGCATATACTTACCTGCACACCATCCCATAGTTTTTTAACTTGGCTATATTGCATATGAATCTCAACAAGTTTTGCAGGAGAAAAACCCAATGGCAGAGATTCCAAAGGATATCCTTCCCAACAAAAGTACCTCAGCCTACTAGAAAGTGCCTCCAAACCAAAAGGAAGATTCACTTTATATCTCTCATTGGCCCAAGAAAAATATATCTTCAAAAATCTTAGATTACCCATTTTTTTAAAAGAATCAGCGCTGATGTGCAACTCTTTGATTTGATGGAGGTGTAAGATAATGCCTTCAATCACATCAGATCCCTAAAATAACAAAATTCGGATAAAATTATATAAATAAAGACTAGAAATTCATCAAATGAAATAACGAATTGGGAAAGAAAAGGAGTTAGCACTCGTCTCTTTTACCGTGCTATTTTCTAAAACATCACAAATTTCTGTTGCATCATTTAGTCGACTTCGCCTTTCAGGTTGTTCTGTAGATTCTTCACGAACTATTTCTTTAGCCATTTCTAGCAGCAAATCATGCATTTCTATTACATTGTCTCTTGAAATAGTTATGAGAGATTTATCTAGCAGATTATCTATTCCACAATCTGTGTAGAAGTCGCTAGCATCTAGCACCCTTACAATATCATCTTTTTGTACTCCTCTGAAGAAGAATGCAATGTCCAAAAATATGCTCTTTTCTACTTTGTCTAGTCCATTATAACTCACCTTCAGCACATCTTGAATTTCTGCATTGGGATACTGTTGGAATTTTTTCAGAGCACTTTTCCACGTTCTTCTCTTTCTAGAATTCAGATATGAACCCAAAACTTTTAATGCTAAAGGAATGCCTTTAGCATATTCAATTGCCTGTGCAGATAACTCCTCATATCCAGTTTTGGGAAGGCCTTGCTTGAAAGCATGCAAACAGAAAAGTTGAAGTGATTCTTCCAGGTTCAATTCTTTGACTTCATGTATTTCATGAACCCCTCCACTAATAAGAACATGCCTGTCTCTACTTGTTATTATAACTTTGCTACCTAATCCCAAGTGTAGATTATCTCCAATCAGATACTGTAAATGGTTGGGAGTGTCCGCATCATCAAGCACTAAAAGAACTCTTTTTCTAGGTAGCCTTCTCTTAGTTACCAAGCTGGGTCCACCTTTCATAATATTTTCTTCATTTAGTAGTGCAGAAAGAATTATTTTAAGCAAAGAAGCTAATCCGTTAGTTTTTCGTGATTCTTCTCTCACATTTTCTGCAAAGAAATAACATTCAAATTGAGGGGAAAATTTTTCAAATACAGCACGAGCAAGTGTTGTTTTACCTATGCCTCCCATACCCCAAATTCCAAGAATTTGAACTTCTTGTGAGTCAACTTTCATAAATGATTCAACACTTGCCAAATTTTCTTCAAATCCAACAAGACGTTTTGGCTCAATTGATTCTTTGTCTTGCAACTTTTTCAATACATCTTCGATTATTTTGTCAATGAATTCAGATTCGTTTCTGGCAAGTAAAAAAGAAGAAATTAAAAAGAAAAATGTCAGTAGATACACGTGATAGAAATAATATGCAAACACACATCATTTCTTAACATTTTTTATGGAAATCTGAGGTAACCCCAAATGAACAATAAAATCATACCGGAAATTTGATGAATGATAGCCAGATAAGTTGGCAGTTTGGTTCAAGACAGATCTCCAAAGCTGAAGCTTCTCCATGTCATCCTTGAACTTGTATTCATGTCTAGCAAAAGCATCTGCATAAATGCCTTTTTGATACCTAACATCTGATGGATCTACAAAGTAGAAAACTGGTATTACAATCTGTTTATTGACTTCATGGCACTCCATGATTTTGACAAGCTCCTGCAAGCACCAGTTGGAATAAGCATAGTCTTTTGAGAATACCACCAAAGAAATGGTTGATCCTTCTATTGCTTTAACAAGTGCTAATGATATTTCATCTCTACTCTGGAGCATCTCATCGACATAGACATTTATTTGCTTTCGACGCAGCTCCCTTTTCAAATGGCTAAGGAAACCATATCTGATGTCTGAACCTCTAAAGCTAATGAATACATCATATTTCGCCCCAGCAACATGGGAGGAAGAAGAAGAAGAGGCAGAAGCAGACATTACTGGAGAGAAATTATATTAATGGGGTGCTAATTATTGCTGATAGATCAGGATGCTAATTCCTCTACACAAGCATGCAAATCTCGATATTTTCCACAAACTACATACAGAACAAATTAAAACTAATTCAGTTAAAAGTAAACTAAAAGTGAAGAATAGCGTTCAAGAAGACGGTAGAGTGGCATGAGGTAAATTGGATTGAGGTTCTTAAAGAATGAGGAAGATGAGCTTGGTGACTGGTGAGAATGGCTTGATAAGATCTTAGGTTCAAGTCTTGAAGTCAACTCGGCAAGTTCGCTCGGCCCTACTGAAAAATGTCTTACAAGTAGCCCGTGTCCAACTCGTTCACATTCAACACCAAATAAGTCGTCGGTAGCAATGGGAAAAATTTGGAAAAATCTAAGTCCACAAGGTCCGCAAATGACTTACTGGCTGGAATAGCAAAATCCTAAATATGGCTGGTCGATCTGTCCTTATCAAAGCTGTCCTGTCTGCAATACCGACCTACCAAATGCAATCCTTCCTCCTACCAAAAGGGGTTTTACAAGAACTTGAAAAACTCAGCAGGAATTTCCTATGGTCTCAAGACGATGAAACACGCAAGCTTCACCTTGTTGCTTGGGACCAAGTCACCAAAAAGAAACGTGATGGTGGACTTGGTATTAAATCCTTGCATAAACAGAATCAAGCCCTCATGTTGAAGTTTTGTTGGGGTTTAGTCACTAAACCGGAGGCATTGGGGTCAATTGTCTAACATCCAAATACAAATGTGGTGGTCAAATCATGCCCAACATAGCCAGGAAATGGAACTCCTCTTTAACTTGGAGATCGGTAAATGGCATTTGGGATATTTTCCTCTCCGGAATTGGCAAGAAGATAAATAATGGACGCAACACAAGCTTTTGGACCGATCTATGGACCCCCTTGGCCAAACCTCTTATTCATTATGTGGTAAGAAATATAGATTAGATTCACACAACTGAGCGTGTATCTGACCATGTTACCCCAAGTGGTGCCTGGAATTCGGTTTATCGAACAAATTTCCTTCGCCCATAGGTTATTTCTACTATCTTGCAAATCAAACGCCCTTCCACTTTGCGAGATGATCAAATATGGTGGAGCCTTGCCACAGATAGAAAATTTTCAATCAAAAATGCCTATGATTTCACCACCCACACAACCAGCATGAACTAGATCCACTATTGGCACAAACTTTGGAGGTGGCATGTCCTAAAAAAGGTCAAATTTTTCTTGTGGCAAATGGCCTATGAGAGAATAGCCACAAATTCTCTTAGAGCCAAGAGAGGTCTCACTAATAATTCTCTTTGTGCTTTTGGATGTGGCTGTGAGGAGAGCGTCGTTTATATTGTGCGTGACTGTGATAGAGCGAAAACACTGGAAGGAAATCTTAAATACTAACTGTCTTAACCTTTTCTTTTCCAGTAACTTGCAGGGCTGGCTAAAACGGAATATCAAGCACAACCCAGAACGAGTAAAATTTCGCAAGTGGCCATGGACTCGCATTTTTAGCCTGATCTGTAGGGAGTTATAGACTTCTCGTTACAGATTTATCTTTGAAAGCCTCAACCCAACTCCCAATGAAATACTACATAAGTGCTTACATTTGTTAATGGGGCAGATGTCTCAAGATGAACTCCTTCACCCACAACTTCCGCAAACATGAAGAGGTATGGACTCCACCCCTGAGTCTCATTTTCGTGTTGATGTGGATGCCTCTGTTCGAAGCTACCAAAATGCTACTTGTGGAGGAGTAATTAGAAACCATAAAGAGGAATGGATAATGGGCTTCCATAAAACCTTAGGCCAATGTCCAATAACTGATGCTGAGATCATGGCAATTAAGACTGGTCTTGAAGTATGTCAAAAGCTGAACCTTCACTGGCTAAGGCTTTATTCTAATTCTGTAAATGCTCTCAGCACATTCCAGCGTGATAGCGCCACAGATCATCACCTTCACAATGATCTAGCTTATATCAGGGATATTTTGTTTCTCAATGATGGAGTGGAACTCAACCATACACACAGAAGCATCATTCAATGTGCAGATTACATGGCCAAACTTGGCCATAGTGGACATTTAGAGATTAGTTGGGTGCCTAGTGTTCCGATTAGCTGTCTTAGCATGTTTTTAGAGGACAAACGCTTTGCCTAGTCTTTATTTCATTTGTTCTCTTTGCCTTTTTTTTCTTTTTGCTTTCTTCCAAGCTTTTGCTTGGCTTTGTATCCAAAAAAAAGGAATGGTAAAAATTCATCAGTAGGAATTCTTTTTGACTCCAAGTAAAAAAAAAAAGATTCATTTTTACTTGTTTTTTAGAAGTGAAAAGAAATTTCCATAAAGCCAACGGTGAAAATTCTTCAACACGAACACTTTTTGACTCCGAGGCAAAAATACTTCCTTTCTTTTTTTCCTTTTGCTCTTTATGGGCTTTATTTGGCCCCTAGGCTTCTTCAATAATTTACAATATCTAATGGTTTGAGAATATTAATTGTGATTATTGAGTAATTAAGGCTCTAATTTTCTTCGAAAGCAAAAGTGTTGTCACGCACATAGAAAGCGAAGACACGAAAGAGTAAGGATTATGCATGGAATTTAAAATTATTTTTTCATTTTCTACATTTTCTTTATGTCAGTCTAAAAAATTGGCCGTAGGTAAGTTGAAGATGTAAATGTCAGCTTTGGAATCTCAAAAGCAAAATATTTTAATGTTAATGGTAAATAAAGGGGCTAATGAGGATCCTAGAGGCGAAGATAACGTGAGTCGTGATTAAATTACTGCAATTAAAAAACGTGAATAGTTAGTTGAGGAATTAATAAATTACATTTCAATTAAAAATGTACGAAAGTCAGTTATAAATCTTAATTTTTTGTTGTCATTATATAAATAAACTATTTAAAAAATAAAAAATATATATTTAAAATTATTTTAATGTTAATTGAAAATTTATAAAAGTTAGTTGTGACTCACAAGCTAATGAGTTTTTTATATTAATATATAGATAAATTATTTAAAAAATTTGCAAATTATACTTGAAATTATTTATAATGTCAATTGAAAACTTATGAGAGTCAGCTGTAAATCACAAAGCTAATCACTTATATTTTTTGATATCACTTGAGAAATCAACCAAAAAAAATAATTGAAAATCTTTATAATATTAGTTTAAAATTTATAAAAATTTACTTTAAATATCAGGTTAATCAACAAAAAATAATTCATTGCAAGTAAGAGTCATAATTTCTTACTAGGATTTCAATAATTTTGAATTTGTAATTATCATTGAATTTTTATAAGCCCTTTAATTGTGATTTTTCCTATTTGTTTCGCCCCGTGGCATGTGATGAGTTCTCATTCTCAAATCCCAATTATAATGGGTCGGGTTCGGGCTTTTGAAACGGATTTTGTGACTTTATTTAATTTAACCTGATTTGATGTGACTCAGCTGCAAATTACACAAATGTTTGTCACGTAAGCATGATTTTGATTTTAATTTCGTTAGGACCCCATCTATCATTGTCACACCATTTAGGGACTGGCTTCAAGTATTGAAGCGAAGGAACCTACTTCAAAAACACTATAAATTATATGGACCAAATCCAAAACATTAATTCCCCCTGATAACTAATATAACAGTACAATGTTTGCTCTTTTTGGCGTCTCAATCTCATATTTCTAACAAACTTCCTTTTTATGCACTTCGAAAAATTGTAGTAGCCATTTATCAAATGTACTTGAAAATTATTATTATTTTTTGTTCAGTGTGACATGTTAAATTCATGCGTTTATATTCCTCAAATTTTGTTTCCAATGATTAAGGTGAAAGATTGGATTCTTCACCCCAAAGGAAAAAAAAAATTGTACTATTAACAATTATATATAATCTATATAACCAACTTCACCTAGTAAAATAAGACTTGTTATTATTATATTAATGATTACACATAGTATCAAAATTCAAGTCATATCAATTAATTGAATTAATAAACTATTAAATTAATATTTCAACTAATTGAATGAAATATTTTATTTATAATTGATTTAAATATGAATCGACTATAATTTTTATTATTAATTCTTAAATCAAGATTTTAACCCCTTCAAGGACTCATCCGATCCAATTTTAAGTACTTTTAGAAGTCCTAAGATACAAACTACAACAGTGACATGTACAATGAGCTCAAATGATTCAACAATTGCCATCTCAAAATTGGGTCACACTAAACAAAATTGTGGTAATAATACAATCGAAGCAGCATCTGGAAAATGATCTTCACACTCCAGGAGATCCAAAAGCACGCATGCACAAATTTGCAGAACAATTGTAGCCAATCACCATGTACTGCATGTTAACTGGTCCCTTTACTCTGATGAATGCTCCAGCAGAGTAGAGGGAAAACTTCAATGTAAACCACGGTGGTGTGCACACTCACATGTGTCTATAACTGTTCATTCCTTCCCTTATCAGTGATCAGCCATGCAATGTGTTCCCAGTTCCCAGTATCAACGTTAAAATTTAAAAATTAAACTTAACTAGACTCAAACCAGCCTGAAGTATGAATTACAGAAAAAGAAATGGCTCAAGTTGTAGAAGAAATCATTCCTGCTAACTTGCTGAATTAAAATTTACCTGAACAATAATAGAAGCGCATTGTACATCTTGAAATACATTACACGTAGAAAACCTCAAACGGTAATACCAGATCCATGTAACAACTCTCCACTACGGATAGAAAATTTCAGACTTGCGCTTTCAGCTTTCGCTAGTTACTTACTTCTGAGAATAATTTTAAAAAATTATAATTTCTAAAACTAATCTATGAATAATTGTTACAATACAAACTGGGATAACCCGTTGGCTACAGAATGTCATCATAAGCGACGATTTCTCTGGCCGGGAAAGGCACGTCTCGACTTGAGCCAGACTCACTATTTTTGGGATTCACTATAGCTGAGGCGAGTTTATTACTTCTTCCATGTCTGCTCAAAGGTATCTCAGCCCGCACAAGTTTTGACATCGATCCCTTCTCCTTGTTACTGTTACCTACTCCTTCCCTCCACAAGGCCAGAGGATCAGTCGCCCACAATACCTGCACCTGTGAGGTACGCTTCTCTTAGTCTTCAACATCCAAAACAATTATGGAATTAAAACCCCTTCCTCCAATTAAACTCGAACCAACATTGAGACCTTTATCTTTAATGTGTTCAAGTGAAAAATTTGTCAGAAAGTCCCGCAACTTGGTTGAAATTTTGTTGTGGTTTTAAGTTTAATAATATACACTTGGTACTGCTATCGCTAGTGCATGGATTAAAAGAGAAATTGACTTTTTACGGAAACCCAGGATAGGGGAGGATTAAAATCAGAGATTCTGCAAATACGCCTCTTAAGAAGCTAGCTGTTAAGGAGCACGAAGTACCCTTTTCGAGCTGACGGTGATGCCGAAGGAAGGGTCAACGGCAGCAGCTATGGCGGAATCGGCAGATTCCTTGGACCGATAGGTAATGTAGCCAACTCCGTCACGGTCGATGCGGATGCGGGAAATGGGACCGTAGATTTCGAATCGGGATTTGAGATCGAGAACAGAGCAGTCCAAAGGGAGACCCATAACCACCACCGCGCAAGGCGGCGCCGGTCTTGTTGCGTGCTTGTTGGCGGCATCATCGGCGGTAGGGTCCAGAGCAGGATCGGGAAGAGGTCGACGCCTCTTGGGCATGGACTGAGAGTACGGAGCGTGGCGGGAAAAGTAGGGTTTTCTCGCTTGCGGCTCATGGCGATATTCGTCCACCAGCCTGAAGATCTTCACGCCTAATATTTCTGTGTTTATTTAAATTTTGTATGCAAAATATTTCTTTTTTTATCTTTATTTGGACTGCGTGAAGCGAGAGTGGTGCACTGGTTCAGGACTGGTTCAGGACTGGTTCAGGACTAGGATATATCGCGTATCGCAGAAAAATTAATATTTTTAAAATCATATAAGTATATTATATGAAATCAGGAACTTAATGCATGAATAATAATACTTTTTGTTAATCAAATAACCAAAACAAAAAAATATCCTTAACAATTATTAATGTTATACTTGGATGCATGAGAATTTAAATTTAAATTTAATTTTTTTTATTGAAGAAGACAAATATCATTTAAACAAAAGAAGGCAAAATAACAAAGCTAAACAAAACCTTTAAAAGAAGCCCAAATAAACAAGCTCATAAAAAACCCTAACCCTAACTAGAGGGGAGCTTTCTTGCCATTGTCATCGTTGATTGTTCACTTTAGAACCCACAAGAAAGAAAACACAAAAGGCAACAAAGCCATAAGAAGCGAAGTACCCCTTTTTATCGACAAAGATATAATCAAGAAGGTTGTAAAAGACAAGGACCCTATAACAACAAAATAAACATGGGTACCAGCGAACCAGGTAAGAACAAGAAGAGAAAGAAGACAAATTGGTGACCACAAATCAAAATGCCATGCCTAATGGATTGCAAAAGTCCCTTCACTAGCGCTCCAGATTTGCCGCCGCCACATAAGGTTAGCCAAAGCCAATAGAAAAATAAAGCAAAATAGAATAGAGATGACTAAAGCTCTCCACGCCCAAAAAATGCAAATCAAAGTGTAAAGATTTAGATCTGTCCAACCACCTATCAATAACACCACCAAGAAGAGACAAAAGCTAGAAAACCCTAAAGAATTGATTATTACCACACCAATGAATGACTCTTCCATAGAAAAAACCACCAAAAAATGCAAAGAAATAGAAAAGACGGCAAACCAGAGACACCACACCAATGCCTCAACACCTAGCGAAAGTTGGAGAGGGAGGTGTCGTAAAACTTGATTGCCCAAGACGATACCTAAGTCCCGCCGCCTAGAGAGAATACTCGAGATGGAGACATTGTTATGCATATAAATGTGTGGATTTTGGATTTGACCCACATCCAAATCAAAATTCTATCTCAATCCTTTTATATTTTAAATGCTTTATAAACTCTTATTATTTCATATTTCAATGGAAGATTCTCTCTTCCTTCTAGTTCGTTCATCGACTTCACAACCTCTTTAACTTCGATATCGTTGCCTCTAGCTGACATCCATCAAAATTAGACCTTCAACATTGAATTGGACCTAATTGCTAGCATAGATAGGGACTGCACTGTAACCGATAGCTAGGATCAAACAGTTGGCGTCAATTGAGACCTGATGGTAGATGTTTAAAGGGACCAGACCATGGGTCCCGGCCGAAATCAGATAGCCAACTTTAACCGAGATAGCATAAACAACACCAACTAGGACTAGACCGCTGATGTCAATTGTGACCAAACATCCAATTAAGACCAAACTATATGCTATAATTGAGGTTGGATCACATAATGGTGATTGGGACCAAATTAGACCATCGGTTGTTACTAGGGCCTAAGAGTCGGTGTCCACCAAGACCTCACAACTAGCGCCAAGCAAGACCTAACCGACATCATAGTTTAGGACTGGTATATGATCACCATCTTCATTTTGTCCATTTTCATCGTCCAGCACTAAAAGTCACTATTAATAAGAAATGGTCTAATGTTGTCATCTAAGTCCAATTCATAGCCCTCGAATTACTATAATCATCTTGCACTAATTTGTAAGCAATATTTGGGATAAGGTCATCAATGTCGACCAGGACCAAGATGTTATTACCAATCGAGACTAGACCACTGATGGTATCTAAGTTCAGACCATCATTGTCGACTGAGACTAGGTCGACATCAACCAAGACCTCACGGCCAGTGCTAACCAAGACCTGACAGCCATCATAATCTAGGACCAATTTATGATTACGATCTTCATTCCATCCACTTTCATCATCCATCATTAAAAGCCCCAGTTAATAAGAAATGGTCTAGTGTCATCATCTAAGTCCAATCCACAACCCTTAAATTGTTGGAATCATCTCTTGTTAATTCATAAGCATTGTTTGGAATCAGGTCACTGATGTCAACCAGGACCAAGCCATCACTAATAATGGAGACTAGATCATTGATGTTGTCTAGGTTCAAATAGCCAAAGTCGATTGAGGTTAGGCTACCACCCTTAATTTGGATTGAATCATCAACTTTGACTAAAGTCGAATCATTAACGTTGTTTGAGTTGCCTTTAAATTCAAATATAGAATTTTAAATTTTAAATTTTAAATTTTATTTGAGATACAAACAAAGGATTTTAATATTATAACTTAAAATTTTATATATTCTCCAAATAAAAAATTTAGAATTGATGAATTTTAAATATAAGATTTTAAATTTAAATTCTCAGTCAAAATTCCCTCATCCAAATGTAATCTTTTAATGAATTTTGTTGTAATTTTTACCAAACCATAATTTTAGTGTGAACCTATCTGCTATTGCACACCGAAAGAGCTTTGCAATGAAAAGTCCCTCTAGACAATGCTTATCAAGCGCATTACCTCACTTCATCATCGTCCTTTCAATGACATTTTCTTTATTCTCACCCTATAAAAGTATGAACCGATGAACAGACACAAGTTAAGATGAAACTGAAAAATGGGAGCATATCTTTTTTTTACGTGACTATTTTAAGTTGATTAAATTTAAACATGTCTATACTTTTCTAAACACATTTTTTTGCATTTATGCAAACTCAATCATATTACTCAATTATATTTACAACAGTGGAGTCCTGGAAAAGAAGAGCAATCCTTGGGCCCTCTTCCTCATTAATGCCCTTAGGGGTGGAATTCATCATATTAAAATTTAAGTACTGCTCAAAAACCAATTTTAAAATAAAGTAAATGAATAAATTATCCCTTATTAAACTTTAGGTTTAATAATACCATAGATTCTAAATTTATTTATTATGTAAATTATTTTTTTAATTTTTAAAAATAATACATAAATTCTAAATTTATTTATTGTATAAATTATTTTTTAAAATTTTAAAAATAGTGCAATTTGACCCTATTGTTAGCAAAAACTAACTTTAATTGTCAATTGATCAAAAAATAACAAAAGAGGACCAAAATTTTTTTGATCATTTTTTATAATTTTTAGGTTCTTTATTATAATTTTTTTATCCTTTTTCTGTAATTTTTTAGTAAATAATTTATACAATAAATAAAATCATGATCTATAATGCTATTTAACTTAAAATTTAAGCAACAATTTGCTCATTATTCTTTAAAATTTTGAGGCACACTTAAAAGTTCAAACACTTCCCAAAAGGAGGTATCCTTAAAATTTAAAAGAAACATAAGAACTTATACTGAATAAATTACTTTTTTTCGTGGAATGATTTTTAAAATTATAAATAAATAGACTTTCTTTTGTGCAATATATACACATATATATAAGACTTTCTTTATTATTATTTTTTTGTCTTGTCTGGGTTGCGTTATGAATAATTTTTTTTTTTCCCAAATTCATACGTTTCTTTCTTTTTTTTTTTCTTTTGGTAAACAAGGGGGCAAAAGCCCAAAAGTACAATCAGCAATACCAAATTCATTCTTTTTATGAATAACGTTGTGAGGTAGACTTTTGACCAAAAAACAAACGTTGTGGGGTAGACTTTTATATTTTATACAATGGTAATGACTATTTTTTATACTAAAATAACTTTGATGGTTTAAAAAAATAAAAATAAAAATATTTCTATGCAGAAATTAAATTTCAGCTAAACATAAACTAATTTATTGTGGCAAAGTTGTGTGTGTTTTGAAAATGAATATGCGCGTGTGCGCATGATTTTGTCAAACCTTGTGTCGGTGTAATTTTTCCCCTTTTAATTTAGCGTGATAAAGCAACATGATTGTGATGGGTTCTTAAATTTGAAATAGAAAATAAATAGCCATGATTTTCTTTGCAATTAAACCGGTTTTATTTACAGTGGTGGGCAAGTAAAACATCCTGATCATGAATTTTGATCTAATAGCCAGAAAGAGATAGACGTAGAAAATTAAAAGGCTCTTCATTTGCAAAACACACAATCACATTTTATTCAAAATAAAAATTTATAAAAAAATAATATTTTTAATATGTCTGTTAGTTACTAATTTGGACATTACGAATTTTATTTAGATGTTTCAGTTTAATATTATTTTTTATTTTTTTATAAATTAATTATCTAGATGTGCTTTGAATGGTTTAAATTTGATTTTGATTCATAATTAAAATTTTTAACTTATAATTTTTTAAAAAATATTTGTTGGAAACTGCTAGAAATATTATCTTTATTTGTAATATTGTATTTGTATTTATCAAAATAAAAATTTATAAAGATTGTAAAAAAAATTAACATTCAAATCAAAACTATCCAGAATATATCTAGATGATTAATTTATAAAAAATAATATTAAACTGAACTGTTCAGATAAAATCTGTATTGTCCAAATTAGTGACTAACAGATTTATTAAAAATATTATATTTTTTTATAAATTTTTATTTTGAATAAAATATGAGTGTATGTTTTGCAAATGAGAAACCTTTTTATATACCCATCTCTTACCAACTATTAGATCAAAATTCACAGGAAGTTTGCGCGCTTTATTATTACACATGATCCGTATCCCTCACATCTCCACATAGGAGTTAGTTTTCTAGCTTTTCGGCAATTTTAGTTGCGATGGTGAAGAGTCATTATTGATCAATCTATTAATTTTAGGCTTTTAGTTCTTATCAGTTCTAACAACCCAAAATTAGTTATTTTTATCAATTTAGTCATGTCTTAGTTTGTTAAGAAATTTATATTATATATAAACTAATAGATATTTTGTTTTGGTTATTCAAACAATTATATTCAAGCCATTATTAATACTTTAATGCGTGCACCTCTTGAGAAGATGCAA